AGTGAAAAGAGGGGATAAATAAATATATGCACTAGAAGACGGATAAAATAAATCATGGACTTAAATCAGTGCAACAGGACGCTAAAATATAACATTGGAAATATGTTCACCAACAATAAACCCAACCACTCAACTCGACGCCGCTTGCCACCATGATTCAAGAAGGATGTGTGAGGAGACACCTAGCGGTACTTCGATGTACTCATAACAATTCGAGCGCAAAATTCAAATTTCGGTAACTTTTGGATTGCCCCACGTATTTCTCAAAGATTTGTTTCAATATTACTTTCTCATCTGTGCCTAGCTCTCTTCTAATGATATTCTCCAACTAAAATGGTGTATGCATTTTTTGTGTTTTGCATGCATTCTAGATGTCCAGCCCTTCTCAATAAAAGTGGGTGACCAATTAATCTATCTTGTCTACTACAATGCAATCAAGCCCTGCATCGTGGATATTCAGGTATTGTAATTATGACCATAAATTTCTCCTTGCAGAAATTTTTGATAATACAAATTCTTTTTCGAGTCAAAATGCAAAACAACAACAAATTCAGTATATCTTCTCTCTTTAAGAAACAATTTGTTACAAAATTCAGACTGAATATGTCCCTGAATCAGTGATATAGCTGGACAAAGAGCTTTCCACTGGCCAACCAACACTGATGCATCAACGATATAAAGGGATAGCTCATAGCATGGCTGTTATTTCCATTTAATTATAGATTGTGCAGTGTATTACCCTTATTGAGTATATCTGGAAAGAGGTCATCATGATCAAGTACATCTATAAGGGTACAAAAAGCGCATCTACTCTTATTTCTGATACATAAAAAGTATGTATCTCTTGTAACTGTAAGCCAAAAATTTTTCCATCAGAACATATCTCCACTCATAACATGGAAGTAAATGTAGAAACGTGACTCATATAACAGAATTTCATGATATGACAAATTTTGAAGAACATGCTCAACAAACAGCAAGACAAACTAGTGTCAAAAACATTATATACATGAATGAAACAAAAATTAATGTACTCACTGGATCTGAAGGCATATTCCAGTCTTGATAAGTACGGGCACTTTGAGGGAACACCCGATTATTGAGTATGTCCAAAGTGGTGAGTGTGATAGCCCTTACTGAAGAGAGATACTGCTCATACAACCAGCTGCCCTGTCTCTGTAATTCTGCTATTCGGTCATCAGACACACTGGTCAGGATTTCCATCAGGTTGCCCAAGTCATCTTCTGAGACAAATACAGCTGCTCTGTACGAAAGGAAATACATTTATGAACTGTTCTTCTCCTGAGCTAGTTAGCTCAAGTGGTAATATTTCTGACTCGTATTTAGGAAGTGCCCGATTCAAATATCAGCTATGACACCAACTACCCTGAGGTTTGATATGGGTTTCCTCAGTCCCTGCAGGCAAACGCTGGGATAGTACTTTAAACTAGGCAACAACAATATCCTTCCATATGGCACCATCACTGTGGTCACAAAAAGTATACCACTGGACCCTAGATAACAGCCAGTTCACTCCAGTCCTGTAAGATCTGGGGGTCTCATGACTGTGACTATGAAGATTACTGTATTCTGGGAAGTGACACCATGTAGTCTGCTAGAAAGTTACACCAACATTTCAGGGAAACCTGCCTCTTCCACCTTCACTCCTCTGTACTGAAGATGTCCATAGTTTTGATTAAACATTTAAAGCTTCAACATACAAAAAGTGAGCATTCTTCTCACACTGTATTTGTGTGTTTAATATGGTTCTCACAATAAGCAGTGATATTTCCCTAAACAGCATTAATTTACTGATCTCTGTAGTGGAGATGTCTGCTGTTTAAAAACATAAATAACTAGAATATACAAAACTATAATTTTGCCTATGGTTCTGCATGGGTGTGAAACTTTGCCTCTGACATTAAGGGAGGAATACAGATTGAGGGTGCTCGTGAACAGGGTGTTGAGAATATCTGGACCGAGAGATGAAATGATGGGAAATTGGAAAAACTGCATGAGGAGCTTCATAACTTGTACTCTTTGCCGAGTATAATTAGAATGATAAGTGTCAAGGATGAGATGGGCACGACATGTAGCAAAAATGGAGAACAGGCATGCAGGTAGGATATTGGTCGGAAAGCCAGAAGGAAAGAGGCCACTAGGAAGACCAAGATGTAGGTGGGTGGATAATTATTAAAATGGATCATAGGGATAGGATGGTATGGTATGGACTGGATCGATCTGGCTCAGGATAGGGACCAGCAGTGGGTTCTTCTGAACATGGTAATGAACCTTCAGGATCCATAAAATGTTGGAAAGTTCTTGAGTAGCTCCACAACTGGCCACTTCTCAAGAAGGGCTCAACTCCATGCAATTAGTTAATTAGTTCACAGAGGTGGAGTTTCATGTGAGGTACAAACTGGATTTGTATTTACATGAAAATCTGCCTTTAAAGGGTTAAAAAAACATACCGGAAGAAGAGCCAAATTCCAAAATGTTGCATTTCTTTAATTAAAATGGCAGAATGGGAAATGTTCAATATATTCGTCAGTTCAATAACAACCCTTCAAACTTCTCTCTGTTATTGAGTTGAACAGAGTCCACCACAGGAGGCTATCCTTAGCCAAAAAAATCCAGCCCACTTTCTAACATAACATTTGTTTTTATACAACTTAATGTTACAGTGTCTAAAAGAAATGTTACAGAATTACCTACACAAAAACAAGACCAGGTTTTGCCTTACCTCTTCCAATCAAGCACATCTTGGAAGGGCATCACAAGGGAGTCTGCACACATGACAGGAACGCAGCCAGTGGCAAGAGCTTCTAGCAGCGTGGGCTGTCCAAGTCTTGCTCCTCGAATTACTAAACAAAACTTGGCTCGCTGTAAGTAAGAGATCACAAGGTCTTATATAAAACACAACTGCACATATGTAAATAAGACTGGTTTCTGGGATATGACGCCGTGTAGTCTGGTAGATCATTACCAACATTTTGGAGGAACGCACTGCCTCTGTTTTCAATAACAATGTATATGTTCCTCCAAAATGTTGATCCTATTTACAAAACTGTACGGCATCACAGCACAGAAGACCACAGTCTTAATTGTCACTGCTGTGAAATCCTCAGACTTAGAGCATAATGTATATCAGAGCTACAAACATGGGTTTGTGGAACAAGTTCACACTACCTGAAGCACATGTGGGTACTGAAACACTTCCTTGCCACGGCACCTCATGCTGTAGTTGCCCTGATTAGCCCCTGTACAGGCTTCCAGCAGCAGTAATTCGGAGTGATCCTGGGCCAAATGCCACAGTCCTCTTTCATATTCAGGGTGCAGGTTGATCTGACTGGACACAACCAACCACGGTCTGAAAAAGCAAACACAGATAATTACAATTATTCCACTCAAACCTAATCTGTTGTTTAGAGGAGATTCTGGGGGGTCAACCCCTCATGATTACAACCCATCCCTGAAACGTGTTGGGAGATATAAATAAAATGAAGAGTACTAGCTTCCAGAATATGACACCATGTTGTCTGATAGGTTCTTAAGATCTTGGAGGGTTCTGCTGTCTCCATCTTCAAGGAAGACTCTTCTATCCTTAAGACAGAAGCAGCAGTTCCTCCAAGACGTTGGTAACAATCTACCAGACTGCATGGCAGCTCACCCCAGACAACAGTCATCTTCACAGTCACCACTGTAAGAACCTCGAATCTCAAGCAAAACATTCATTCTGACCTTTCATGACACAACAATGGTTTATGCCAACAGCATAGTTGAACTTTGAATCTTTGTCACAAAATACAGATTTTGTAAACTGAACTGTCAGAACCACTACTGCCACTACTGCTACTTGATTACAATGGATTATTAAAATCCATCACTGCCTGGTATACTAATAACCCAGCATAATCCAATTTTAGCTGCTTATTTTTGAACACACTGTTATGAACTGCTTTGACAATGATGCCAAAATGTGTCTGCCAGAATAAAATTACAGTTCTTGTGCACATGTGGATGCTTTCATTACGATACCTTGCAAACCTGTGACGAGTATCTGGAGTAAGCTGCGTCACCACTGGACTGTACACTGGCAACGAGACGTCAAAACCCATCCTGTAAGTCCAGGAAGAGAAACCAGCACCCGCCACAATGGCATGACCCAGTGACAGTTCCACCACAGTACTGTAGTCTGGGACACCACCAGGAACCATGTTGAATATCAAGTGGTTTTCCCCATCCTTCCAGCTGTACCAACAAGAAGAAAATTTCAGACTGTGGAAGAATACAGATCTGAATTGCTAATGCCATGGTTAAGTCTCTAGCTTTGTTTGTTTTCAGGAAGTTCCAGGTTCAAATTGGAAGCTGGGATACCTCAGTCAATATAGGAACTTGCCTATGGGCTGAATGACCAAGGAATCAAGGTTCGATTTCTGGGAGGGGCAAGATATTTTCCTCTCTTCTTTGAGGTATCTGGACTGGCCCTGGGACACACCCAGCCCCCTACAGAAATCCATTTTGCACCACACCTAACATGTGAAGCTAAACCATTACTCTCCTACATATCATCACGACATGGTGCCCAATTTAGCTCAGAGGTAATTTTACCTTTTAAGACTTCTTCTGTTGAGGGAAGCAAGCAATTTGGTGGTACTTATATGCACTTTTGCATAGATGAATGGTTTAAAAATAAAAATTGTTGAAAACAACAAATTCTGTGAATTGTAAGAGCTCCTTCAATAATGAAGTAGCAATTCTGTATGTTTAGATGGCACATAAGGCAAATATATCATACAAGCAAACATATACTTACTAAGGTAAAGATGCCAAAGCTGAAGATGTTTCCATGACCCTAAAACGGTTCTGATTTAGGGTGTCAATTGATGGTACAAGGATGCATGCTTCTTCTGGATTTGGTGTATAATATTTGCTCTCTAATATTGTCTGAAGAATGAAATAGAACTCTCTTGACGTCTTACTTCCCACTGGAATGTCTCGTTCATCCACATATTTTCTTAAGGGATAAACATAAACTTGAATTTTATTATTACCTGTGTGCCCACATCGGTAAACATTAAAACAGTCATAGTAACTACAATGAGGATTTCTTCCTTCAGAAAGTGGTGCATCTGCTGCAATTATTACTTCTGGCACCCTGTCGAGGTTATCTAATGAAATGTGCTGATAAACTTTTCTGTGTCTTTCATAAACTCCAGTTGGTAAATAATGAACAACTACAACAATCGCAAAAGACAGCAAGAGAACGACAAACAGCCCTATGAAGAAATGTCTGTAGCGGTTAAGAAGTGGCCCTGGTTTCAAGGCCATTTTTGATGCCATTATTAATGCTGAAACTTCATTTCTTCAATCTCTGAACAGTTTCTGTAAGACAATAAAATATATGGTCATTAAAACTCAATATACAAGAACTTCTTTCAGGCAAGCAATATTCTAGCACTACTATCTAAACAGGCGATTAAGTTTAATGTGATAAAATCTGATTCATTCTGAGCTCTGGAAGTGAATAAACTTTATAAAGTTCCAATTTCAATAAAATTATTTACATTGCATTGATCCTTTACAAGAATGTTCAATACCTAAACTACCTATTGGAGGAGGAGTTTTGGGAACTTGTTTTTAGGCAAACTTCAGTTAACTCTTTGACTGGCACAAAGGGTATTTAAATCCCACCCCTG